ACAAAGAGTTTAGCTGAGTGAGGACAAATCACGAGTGCGAATCAGTTCGGGCCTTCAGTAAGAATTATGGGGACAGATTGCAAACACAGAACCCTAGTACAATAATTCAGACTTGGATGGCACACCATGATCATATACCAGTGATGATTACAGTACCGTAAATTATAGTAGCGCCGACGCAAGTGAAGGTAAATACGGCCTAATTATATATGGCGGAATATTAATAGAACCAATTTGCGACCTCTCGTTATCTATTCCTTCAGATCACGAGCCTAGTTTTGATAGAATGGTAGAACGTCAGCTTGATGTCCATAACTAAAATGGCGATAAAGTGAATGAGAGCATCAACAGTAAACTTGAGCAAGTATTGAAGATCACCCAAAAATATGTAATTGGTATACGAGTCCGTGTGAACCATTTTAATTTTATATTGAAAGCAGTTCAACACTTTGTTAGTGAACCACTACGTGCGGAGAATGTCGACGCTAAGGTGACCGTAACCATAGTGACGGCTTAGACAATACAATCTAGAAAACCTAATCGACGCCTTTGAATCCTATCTAATAACATAACGAAAATCCCAACTATTACATGAATGGCCAAGATGAGTCGGCTTTAAGATTGCTTGATCGGCTCGTAGTTGGGAAGGAGCGCTGATAAGCCCAAAAACTAAGCCAGTATCAACTGAGCTTATAACGATTTTGCAAGCATATATGATAGTCTGAGATGTCGTTTTTGTATATAGAAATACGGTGTAAGATTTTCGCTTTGGTGTGAAGAACAAATGAGAGTGTAGCTCAGAAATACACTTACGGCAAGCATGCTGAGGCGTGTTAAATCGATATCGTGTGTTTCCTGAACTGGCCCGTTCGGACTGACTTAGCTGCACATGCACTTATTGGTGACCTTACTGTATTACTTGTGGTCGCAGTATCTAAGTCTTTACTATAGCAGGATGAAAAAGGTATGCTTTTAAAAATGCTTACTTAAGGCCTATAATGTTCAAGGTGCACGTGTTTGATGAAAGCGTTTGCTGATTTGATAAATGATCATAAATTATAAGTGTATAATTGATATTTCATGAGAGCTTTCTAGGCGAATAGTGAGCTGCTATGGCAAATGGTTGAGAGAGCTGTTATTGCAATAACTGAGGGGGCTGCATGAAAGGCGATCTAAGTAAGCCCAGTAGGCGTATATACATTGATGCCCTTTAAGATTGAAGTACATGCAGTCATAATCGCTGTGCAGTAGAGTTTATAAAGAACACGTTTTTACTTTTGACAAAAGTGATATACGCGTTTTTGATGTTACAATTCGACTTGTAGAAGTCGAAGTGAAATAAATTGGCGGTCCTCTATCATTTGCTAATGGGTGATGTCTGTTTATTTGGTAGGTATGTTTAATAATAAGTGAATTTTCTAATCCTTAGCATTTCTACAGTAGACAGGAAAGAAGATGTGCTATTAGGAATGGATGCGTTGAGCAGATTACCCTTTTACAAAGAAATTATCACTTTGAAGATACTCAATAGTCAATTTGTATCGGTTGTGTGTACTTGATGTAAATTGTGATCGATTCTGCTTGCCTAAATGAGCATTTAAACTTATCCCTAAGTTGAAATGCTCATTTACAGAACGTTTAGAGAATCTGTGTATTAGTATATACAAATCCCAATGGTTTGAAGAGTAACCTTCCGTACAATATATTTCCATTCTTTGCTCTAAAATACATATTAATGTAGTGGCCAACTAAAACAACCTTAAGCATGACGTTTTCTGAGACACGTTTTATCTTACACTGAGTGTAAAGTTTTATCCAAATATCCATCTAGAGTATAGAAATACCAAAGGTAGCGTTTTGAAGATGCACTATTTTCGTTTGTAGCGATAGCACATGACTACAAATATATATAAACATGTATTTACATTATATCCTAGCCCCCGTAACCTTGCCGGATAGTCTTTTTAAATAGGGTACATAGTGAGTCCATATACCGAGAATTATAAAACTGTTATGTGTCAAAGCAGAATGTTAGACGTAAGATTCAAAATATTTAGCGAAAACATACTCAAAAATAATTGATAGATGGGTGTAAGTAAGAATGTTCCATAACTATAAACAGTAACCAGTATAAGAGCCTCCCTTTTTCCTGGGGTCAACCATTTGCATCTATTAAAAAACGGACCGCATAGTACATGAAGATTGATTTGTTTGATGATTTGTTTTTTTTTGCACAATTTAAGCAATTGTAGTTGAATTTCCCTGCGTATGAATAATTGATTATTTCTTCTCCAGATTCTTACATTATACAGCCAATATTCATCAGAAAGCTTTTCTCATGATAGCGGTAAAAGCTCCTTGAGACATTTGCAAATGCACGTTTCAAGTCTTTCTCAAAAAGTAGTGTACGTGTCTATTCAAAAATTAACATCGTATGAAGTGAACTCTTTTTAATAAATAAAATCGCCAAACTTTTGTACAATTAATACGATTAAAAAATCTGCATAGCTACACAAATTAAGTACCTTCATTTTATTCACTTCAGTCTCTCACGAAAGCAGTTAGCAACAACGAAAACGTGGAGACATTTGAGGGGCTTCTGCTAATAAACTACTACTTGACAGAAATACCTCAACGTTAACACAGTGCATTCGGTAAACCGGGTATTGAAAAACAGCCCGTAAACAAATGGCCTTCGTATTATCGAGACGCTATATGCCATTTACCTTCTTTTGAGAAATAAACAATGTATGCCATTAATAGTGAAGTTAGTGTTGCGTTTAAGCTTTCAGTAACGCGATGACCATTTATTCTCCGTTTATTGAAGTGCGGCTGTCAGAATTACTCACCTTATATAGGACAGCGTTACCTATCTTAGCTCGGCTGCCTTAACTTATCGACTTCTCGAAAGGGAAATATTATAATATATTGTTTTCTAATACGTTAATATGTATAACATAGTAGTAACAGAATAGCAATTTATTGTTACACTTTTATTTCTTCCATAATAATCTCGTTGCTAACTAGGCAAATCTATTTTAAAATACCCGAAAAAAAGGTTTTCTAAAATGGTCAATAGCGTCGTTTTCAAAAAACGTAAACTAGACCAAGCAGCTTCTGCTAGCACACTTAAATCGATATCTCATTTATTTATTCTGAAATAATGTGGACTTACCAATTTATCGTTGGATACTCTTATTGATATGAAAGAAGGGATAACCCCGAAAAAAAAGTCTCATGTTGTTTATTGCCTTAGAAGTTTATTTTTTTCATAAAGCAAAAAAAAAGTTTGCAAAAAGCGTTTGTAAATATATACAAGTTACACTGGACACAACTAACTAAATGTCCATGGATCTACACCTATTACTAGATGTGCACCGTGAATACGTTAATGACCCCCTAACCTTTTGATTGAAGTATTTTCGAATACCTACGCTTCCTACCGGTAGCCTATGGAACAGGTAATTCTACCTGTTTTTTTTCACCTGTTTCTAACTAAGGTTCGGTAGCTTCATAATTAGAGCATGTTTGTGTTGTTCTTGGGATAAAAATTCGACTATATCTTTTTTTAACGGATTTCACGTTTTTGGAAGTTCTACACAACAAAAACCAAGTTCTATTCGAGCGCATTCTAAATTACTAATATAGTATCTCTTTTCTAAGGGTTGCCGTGTTGAAGTTCTACAACTATCCGACAACGTAGTTTACGGCAATGTGCAACGTGAATTAAGGCTTGCATAGGATTATGTGAGTCTCTTACCTGACCACCTCGTTCAAATTCGCAAAAGGCCGAGTCTACATAATAATAATCCATATAATGATAACGACTAAAAACGACGACCTTTTCGAGCGAGGACGATGTAGTAGTGACTAGTAAACACTAATTTCTAAGATTATTATTATTGTTATTATTAGATGAACAATATAATTAATCATTTAACGGTAGTAAAAAAAAACAAAGTTAAACAAATGCAGATGATGAAACTGTCACTTGATATAGCAACGGAGTCTATATCGATCAGTTATAGGGACGTATAGCAAAGAAAAAGGATATCGACTCTAAGGCCCGGAAGGCTAAACCTCTTACTAGAGAAGCCAGCGGTCGCCGGTTTAGGCCTTGTCAATGGCATAGTTTACTCGACGTGTGTGAATAAAGAGAAGTATCAAGTATCATACAGAATAAAATCTAGGGCTTGAACATAGGGCGACAGTCATATATTCAAAAACGGAAACGGCCCACACGGATGGGCGTTTAATACCATCTATAGGTATGTGTACTCAGACAATTTAACGAAATTTGCATGACAGACAAAACCCAGTGGTTTATTTTGAAAATCCCAGATTCAACACAGATTCTTTTGCAGAGAACATTATTTTCTGTTAACGTTCACGCACGTCCGTACACGTGAGTTTTCGAAGGATGTTGGTCTAGATAAATATTCGGAGTCTCACATCAGCTGGCTTGATGGCAAACTGCCCCACTGAAGTAGTATGTCAGGCAGCTAGCGTCCTCTATTACCACGAAACGAGCCGTGTGCCTTGACGACCTCACCAAGTATTCTTAGGTTTAGTGGCAATACTTTATTACTGCAGCATCAGTGTAAGCTTTGACTGCCGAGACAAATCAGACAACCTTAGTTGTTGTTAAAAATTTGACTGCTTTAAAGATTAGTTGCCCTAAACGAACAAATTCATCCGTAAAAACAACTCTCCTTAAATAATGTACCATAAATAGAGCGAACACAGTAATCTTTTCTCTCACGCCTATACACCTACAGGTTTAATGGGTGGGTCAACAAGCATAATTTAACCGATCTCCACAGACTCTATCGTATTATTCTCAATTCTATTTAATTGCTAGCGTTTTATTTTTTATTATTCACTTGGAGGGATATCTATTATAATATTATTGGGTTATAAAAAAAGCACTGACCGTTTTTAAAACTAATATTTTAAAGTAATATTACTAAATATGGGCCTTTTTGATCGATGGCGTTTTGATATATTTCTCAGGCAGGCTCATAACCCCATTACTCTAATAGTTCTGTGGTTGAGCAAAAATTGTGACTAGCGACCTTTGCACTCGTTTATTTAATATATATATCGGATATAAAAAATTTCTCATCCAAAGACTCAACATTTTTGCCAGATAGTTCTATGTGGTTTGGCATCAGTCGAAGCGAACGCCTTTTCAGTAGTTCCGGTTGATTCCGTCAGTTTTTCTAACAACTTGTGATTTTTTTAGTTGTTGGCAGTAAAAGTCCTAATTAATCGTTTTGCTTGACGGCAATAGCTCAAACTGCACAATTCTTTCCCAGTGTCACGAAACATATAGCATCACCTTCTTTAACGTCAGGTTGGGCTTGATCGCAGATTGTGGAGCATATATTTTTAATTTTCTTTTATGTGACCTCTTTTTCATCATCGGTAGTCAAACTAGTCTTGATTTGGTTACGTCTTTGTAGAACTGTGCAGACGAAGATACGGTCGGTTTTACGCTAGTCGGCCTGGCAGCCAAACACCGACCTTATTTTTGTAGCCGGCTTCTTTAGATCGCGTAAGAATCGTTGGTTGTCGATGCTTTGTCCCTTATCCATCTCATGGCTACTCATGTGATCGTCTTGTTCAGTTCTTGCAACTTTTTCTTTACTTGATCAGCAACTGTAAACAGCATCGTTAGCATTGAAACTTCCAGAATGAAAGCAAACAGAATTATGTTTGGGCCGTTCCTGCCGGTAATACTTCTGGACCATAACCAGCACAATAGTTTCTATAGGCCTGAACAACCATTATTGTAATAAATCTGTAAATATAGCGATTTTTTTTTCACATATCTTCAAGGCGCTTCACCTTAAGTCATTCTAATAATTTTAGCTCACCTGTTAATGCGAAAGCAGTCTTCAAATGACGCTAATGCCGACGCGACTCATATGATCTGAAACAATACACTCAAGCCATTTAGCCAGAGGAGCTGCCAGCCCTTTTTCGATGTCTCAGTATATTTGATCTAGAAAAACAAAATTCGCATTAGGAAAGCTAACTTCTTTTTTGTTTGGTAAAATGCAATATGCGAACGGCTCAGATAGACAGAGTCTGCCTACGTAGTATTCAGCATATATTTACATACTGTGAAAGTAAATCATACAAGTTAAATACAACGAATGTTTCAGTTGAAAATTGCCATTTTGTATTTGCCATTTGTTTTATTATTTACCCACATCCGACTATATCGTGGCTCCTTACTTAACTTTGGTTACCCTCATCCGTTGTTGGTTGTCTATTGCATTAGGGCACAGTATGAATAGTTGTATATGCATCGAGATGCTCAGTGAAGATTTGGCCTGCTGGGTCAGTGCATGTTGATTAGCATTCAGGAATCTCAGTGAACGCACTAATGACAACAGAGCACCTCTTATTGATGAATAGTAGCGATGGCTGTTCCGCAGATGTTCATTTAGATCAGAAAATGATTTATCAACGTACGTTTAAAAATGGCACCTGTGGCTCTGATTAACAATGAGCGTGAAAGGTAACGAAGTGAACAGAGAAAAAAAATACTTCGAATCAATAATATACACTTGGATTGAAATTCCACTAGATAGAGAAAATGTGAATAGTACGAGTTGGTAAAACACTACTAAAATAAATAATAACACAGTAAAGTAATAATAATTATTGTTAATATTTCCTGCAACATTTATTTTTGGCGCGGACAACATTTGGCACATTCAATTACATGCAATGTGTAATTGAGTAAAGATTACTTGTTCTTTAATTTTTCGAGGCTTGAACATTTCGTAGATAGGCATCCTCACATTTATCGATACGACGCACTGTGGCAGCGTACTGGTGGCTATTTCCAAAGTTTGTTCATGATGTAAACGGGCTTTTAAGGTAACACAAACGTGATCGGCGTCTCTGTGACAAATCGTCTAAGATTGTTAGAAGCGTTTTTTTGAGCCATATTAACTAATTTTCAAAGTATTTCAATCTGAACACCATTGAAGACCTTCTAGGTTAGGTTAGCTGTTAGGTTAGGTTAGGTTAGGTTAGCTGTTAGGTTAGGTTAGCTGTTAGGTTAGATTAGGTTAGGTTAGCTGTTAGGTTAGGTTAGCTGTTAGGTTAGGTTAGGTTAGGTTAGCTGTTAGGTTAGGTTAGGTTAGCTCTTAGGTTAGGTTAGCTGTTAGGTTAGGTTAGGTTAGGTTAGGTTTATTGTAGCGTGAAGAAGTTAGATGATAGTTAAAGATGGCTCAGATTTCTTTCCGTCATGGATGCAAGTTCGTTTGCGTCTTAGGAACAAGTATCGATCACAAATACACGCATTCGTGAAACCGCTAGCGGCCACATCAAAAAGACCCGAGCCTGGTTGTTACTGTAGCTACTGTGTCTGAGCGGCACACGATTCGCTGAGAGAAAGCTGAAGCACGTGATGTTACATTAAATCACGTCTTCGAGCTTAAATCGTGTCTTTAGGTGACTAGTTGCCGGATTTTATGTGAAAGCATCCTCATATGTGAAAGAAAAGTGAACTACGTACACGATATCAAGGGGCGCATAATGTTCACTATTATTCTGATTGCTTTTGCTGTGCTTCTATATGTAGTCACTCCATGTAGTAGTCAGATGACTTATACATGGAATGACATGATCCGAACTAGTTGTCGAAAAACATTTAGATCGGCTCTATTTGGGCGGGAATTGTTTTCGATTTCCAGTCTCTAACCACAAACAGGAAACACTAACGATCTCGAATTGTTTTATTCACTTGAAGGCTTTTTTTAGAACATTACTAACATTTGTAGCTGTGAACACCTGATTCATTTTCATAAATTTCACGGCTCCATCATACAAGTCTGTTGTGGATACACAGTAGCAGTTAAATAGTAAATTAAAGCTTAGTTAAAAAAAAAAACAAGCACATCTATCAAGGACAGCCAAAAATAGATGACTTTCAGTCCCGAGCTCAGCTCATATATGTCGAGTAACTGTGTTGAAAAACTATGTTATTGAATTCGTCTCTTGTTGTTTAGTTTTTTGCGATAGTTCTTCACATGTCGAACCCACGTTCCTGACGGAAATAATTTCTTCTTCTTATTCCACCCAGTGTTCCTACGCATCTATCTGTAGTGATTCGACGTCTGATAATGCCCTGAAAAGGGCGGAAACAGAGCTGACTATTCAGCTGCACTTGGTTGCTACGAAAGTTATTGTATTTCAGCCCAATTTAGGGCAGTAAAAGTATATAGTTTTCTCTAGTCAACGTACATGTGACGTTTAGGCACATATCTAAAGAATATTTAATATTAGCGGACGCAGTTGCAGACCATAATAGTCACAGATGTACTTTTTGGGCCTTGTGGTTCCTCTATAATAGGTTATGGGGAAAAATATATTCGTGACATGGGTCGACTGCTAAATACCAGTATGGCTTTTTCACTAGCGTTCCAAACTCTCAGATACACTCAGAACAATTACCAGATCGTGAAATATTATTCACGTTCCGTTTCCAAAATCTTAGACAACGAATCAAAAAGACTTTCTCTAAATTCTGCCAGGATCATGTAGCACTACAGGTATCAGGGGTCTTTTAAAACAGCTTATGATATATTTTGACAGATGCCGAAAATAGCGATTATAGCTTTTAAACATGCGGAACCGCTTAGCCGTTCGTCATAGGATTCGTTTTTGGTCTTCACGTAGGTATGAGTACAATATAATTTCTTATTCTAGCTGTTTGGTGAAATTCACTTGTCACAGAGGACAAAAGTGTGAAATGAAGCGCGCTTTAACTAACTCCAAAGAAGTTCTGAGTGACTGTATATATTAATAGAATACTACCGAAACAGACGTCAATGCCAAATTTGTTTATGCTATAGCTCAGAAAAATAAATTAGGTCCTTTTGTACGCAGTTCGCAGTAACAATGTCGTAGACCGCCGGTTAAAATGACCATTTGCCTATTTCTGAAAGCAATATTATTAAAACAGTTGTTTTTTTTATCAAGAAAGAACTAAAATTATGTGTTAGCAACATACATTTTACGATATCAATGAAGCTGTTAATTCGATAAGATTTAGTCTTCAAGTCTCGAATAACTTACGGCGTCTAAAGTAGTTACTTGAAAGTCATCAGGGTCGTGCTTTCTCAGTGTCAGGTTTTTTTTATAGAGTTTCTATGCAAAATGCCCTTATCGGCGTCCATCGAAGGTCATAGGGGCTGTGGTAGGCTACATTTTGACATATATCTTTTTTTAGAGAACGTGCTCTCCTGATAAAATATCATCAAAATATTTAACCGAGAATATGTTTGAAAAAAGTTATTCCAGGCACTAGACGGGAATACGCGATGAGCTGGCTCAAAATATATCATACGCTCCTACAGTTGAATATGGTTTTTCAAATAAAAATGCTTGATGAAAAATTAAAGTTTAACAGTATCTTACACAATTTATGTAAGGGAATTTCATCGATGTACAAAAGGCGGTTGGCTGGCCTCGATGAGCTGAGCAAAGATAAGATATTTCGTGTGGGCATTTCAAAGTAAGGATGGCGAGAAGTCAACCGATAGTACCTGTTCCAAAATCCGAATCGGAACGTTATATATGTTATATTTCTATATCTAAGGTTGATATTTTGTGCAAAGGACGTAAGCGGACGCTTCTCAGCTACCAACTGCATATATATGTATGACTTACCATTGCTATACGTGTTAACGCTGGCCACACGTTACCTAGCCTAAATCAATGTTCTCATTATGTGACAGTGATTATATAATTTATTGGTATCTAAAAAAGGTCATCACGAAGTTCAGCAATTCCAAGATGAAGTACTTATTTACATGCAAACTCGCTATTAAATAGCTGCGTGGTGTTTATCGGAAACTGAAAATAGTAGAAGCAAACGACGATCAAACAAATATTTAACGAATTCTAAACCAAAAAATAGCATTTGTGACTTGTCGCCATGTGCCGATTGCCTGTACCCTTTCAGAAATTAAAAGGAACACGAAAACAACATCGAAATAGTTTCTGACAAAGACGAAAATTGAAAGGGGGGATTGACCAGATAAAAGCTTATACAGATTTCTAGCAGATCTTAAAATACAATATCGGCACTGAGAGAAAAAGAGGGCGAAAACGAGACAGACAGACAGACAGAGAGAGAGAGATGCCCAAAACAACAAAAAAACCTTGAACAGCACTGTACATTAATATTATTATTATAATTATTGTAAATTTTCAAACAAGCTAAGTGCAATACATTGTAGAGTAAGTACTTATCTCTTAAATTTCTGCATTGAAGCATATTTTCCATATAAATCAACTATATTCATAACGACGCCGCTAATAGTTTAAACATTAGTATTTCATAATTGAAAAAACATCAATTGTATTCTAGGTATTATAAAGAGCGTAAATTGCTATTAATACCGTCATCATTATTGGCAAGGTGATAGGCTGCATATTTTACAAAGCCAGAAAAAAAAACACTTACTGCCGCTACGCTCGCCTACTGAAAATTTAAATTAGGGATATCTTACAGGCTGATTTGGGCATATACCTCCAACCGCATATTAGGTACACACTTAATTGGGTAAAGAACACATTTCCTGTGTTTGATTTATAGCCTCATTATTATTTGGAACACCCTGTTGCAATGGTCAGGAATGCAAATTTCCTAGCCACAAACAACGTATTTGAGCCAGCTCGCCACATGGCCAAACGGGAACTGCCAGTAAGCGTTTCAAATGCAATGAAGTAAACGAAAATAGAAGCAAATGGAGGTAAGGAAGAATAATGATTTGTCGTTTTCATGAAAATGTCACACGCAACTGATGTGACTATTGTCATTCCTTTATGTCATCGACCTTTATCTGTTTTCACACGGCTTCCTTTTGTGTCTGGTAACGCGAAGCTATGGGCAAGGTGGTAATATCAAATATTTTACGATGCATATTAAGGCGAGTGTATGTTCATACGGTAAAGTTAATTAAAAGTCTCAACCTTAAAACAGGTCATCTAAAGTTCTATGTTTAAAAGATATCTTTCGGATAATCATTTTGTTCTTCTTCTGTAACTGTAGGTGGCGAGAGTGGTATGTATTTAGAAAAAAAAAATAGGTTCCATAAAATGTAACACACATCTTACTCTTGAGTACGCAGACAAAAACAGAGAGCATTATGCAATAGTATATGTATTAAACATGGAAGAATAGATGCTGCCAATAATTCGCTGTAGAGGTCATATAAGGGTAAGCTTCCCTTGATAAAAGCCAAAGAGGTGCTATCGGTTAGCAGCCTAGACAAACGCTCCATTACATTGGTTCGAAATCATTCGGAAAAGATCTCCTTCCCCTGAGTACAACGTAAATTTCATTGTCGTTTTAAGCAAAGTAAAAAAACGTAAGTAAGACGATTACTACTACTATCAGTCGCCTCTTGAAGTAAGTGAAGGCAGCACAAACACACACAACTTCCCATTGCCTTTTAGCATTTCGCCCGGCATCGAGCAACACGCAGCTATATAGGCAGGTTACTATGTAAAATTGTCGTCGGGAACGAAACGTCGACGTAAAGCAGGGAAATAAGACTGAGTTAGAGAAATTAGATCTTAGAGAAAAACGGCGATTTGCGTTTAGTGTAACTGAAGGAGCTATATAAAAACAACATAGTCAACAGAAATCCCCATATCTTCTAGAGGCGTTGGGTGATCGAAATTATATAACAGAACAGACGACATCGACCATGGCTTTAAGTTTTTTAACATCAAACCTGTAAATTTCTGATGAGACGGAATAAATAAATTGATTAAGTCATAAAAAACCATAGAGGGTGACAGCGATACCCAATAAATGAACTTGATACTAGAATTCAAGTAAAAAGAAACTACGTCTTTATTGTTAGGTGAAACTATTGCTAACACCTATATACTAACCTAATGTATATGTATGTGCAATGAATATTTGTATAGACAGTTATTTTTATAATCTTATCTGAATCAATAGCTTCAGCTGAGTTTATTTACTTATATTATAATCGTTCAACCGCCAGGGCTAGGTTCCACACTCGACTCACATGAAATAGGCATTGCCCTTACGGTGCCCAGTGGCAAGTAAGCAATATTAATCGAAACTGTCTTTGAAGGTCACGTGCGTACAAATTACCTAGAATTCGTGTTACTAATACTAGCAGCGCGGAGCTTCATATTGGGCATCTCTATCAGAGTATATTTCTTAGTATGTGGTCATCGAATGTTTTTCCTCCTCGTTCACGGCCTGCCAGCGTCCTCAAGATGTGGTTACTTTAACGCTGTCTGGCGGTTTTCAGCTGAGCGTTACTTCAGAATTAAGTAGCTATCAGCTGACACTATGCCACAACATGGTTGCCCTGTCTTCCATCTGTTGTAATTAGAATTAGTTTTATACTCGGAGGATATACCTATCGGTGCGTTGGGAGCTTGAGTAAGCTGGATGCTATCAAGCGAGTGACAGCAAACTCGGCTACTAAATGAAAAATGCTACAAGAGTTTTACGTTTACTAATGTATTGTTTTGGGCTGTTGCCCTCTCTCAGCGCGCGTAGCTTCAAACGTAGGCCAGCCCTATGTGTGTAAGTTGCAACGAATTCGTCATTTTAATATTATGCGAACTTAACCTAATTAACGATGTTTTCCGATGGCGAGGTTTCAGATAGGCTGCCTCCGCGGTAACTAAATAGCCTATAAGCCTCCGATGCTTGAGGTGCCAGATCGACATTTAGATAGACGTAGCGACAGAGCCTGACAGCGAAACAAAGCGCTTGCCTAGGGTACCTGATTCGTACTCCATTAGATATTTACTAATAGCTTAATAGCAAGGCGCTGCAGACTTCCAACACAAGTGCAAGGTGTATAAATAGAGAAATTCGGGACAAAAAAGGTCTCAAAAAATTTAGGAGAGATCTGAGAAGGAAGCTTTTAGGGTCGACGGCAGAACTTCACTTTCAGACAAAGAACGGTATGAGAGTGGGAAAGTGGATCGATAACGAGCAATTATACAGTGACTTTTCGCATTTATAGTAATATAATAAATAAACATATTACTAGAGTAGCATTGTAGCAGTGATTACTAAATGAATGAGAGTAACTGTGAAAAAAAATATCTCGGTTTTCTGATCGTTATTATTATATGATCAGATACGATTCAAGTAAGAAAAACGAACCGTGTGTTGTTTTATGGTTACTTATGAAAATTGAGCTTAGCCTATCTTAAACTATGATTATTAATCTCTCGTTCCCAGTATTCAATTTTCGATTGTTGCCAAGAATTATTTCACAAATATTGTACCGCCGTTACCCCCGCCAAGAAGTTCTGTGGTACTGGGAATGTAGGAAGTATCCGAAACAAACATAATGTGTAAATACAAATGGAACGGATGGCTATTCTCTTCAAATACGCCTGAGTGTATTATTTACAAAAGTTTTATGTGCTTTATATGTGCATAAATATGTGTTCAGCATACTGACTAGTGGACCACCGGCGAAAGACTTTCGTTGCTTAAACATCTAGGTGTTCGACGTTGAAGTTTTGGCGGGCTACTTTTTCTAGAAGGGCTCTTCGAGACCAACTTTCGTTGAAGTGGCTTCTGACCGGGTGGTGGTAGATAATTGGCACTAGCGATGCCGGCAGATCCCGCTTGAGAACGTCTTCACTGAAAAGTTGACGGCACGTTGCGGCCGCAAGACAACGAAGACGAAAGACCTTTAAATGTGGAACGTTGATTTTATGTACTACAAGCCTCTCTAAACTTGTTTCCATTCGACAACATGTTCGAGCGATTAGCTCTTCGCGAAGACTGACCGATACGCAAGAGTCTTTCAATATGAGAAAAAACGCGCTCACTACCTGGCCAGGTAACCAGTTTATGCTAGCGCCTCGCTGTAGTAGCTGTAACATTAACTCTTCGATTAGTTCATTTGGCAATGCAGGATCATATAAGACAGCCAGAACGAAGAGACTTTCGTCACGCCATTTTTTTATCTCGTACAGCTGTTCGTCTAAATTGCTAGTGTCCATCAGTAACACTAGATTTTGAAAGTACCGAAGAACACGTTGCCGACACGTTCTTTGAGCGAAAACGGCCGCTCCCACGTAGATGATGTTAAATGCCATATAACAGCTGTAGAGATCGGACAAAACACTTAGTCGATGCCGTGGGGTCCTATTGAGGATAAAAAAGCAATAATTCTCGAAAAATCTGAGAAAATGAATTATTTGGCTCAGGTGCTGTGCGAAAGTATGCGATAAATCAATGTCAGGGCATAGCATAAATGACTTTATGTCAGCCAGTTCCTTTAGCTTGTCAATACGTGACCTCTGAAAGAAACGAAAGTACATATCACGTGGTAGCCATCCAAGCCGGAAACAGGTAACTAGAATCTGCCAATTGGTCTCCAGGTAATCCTCTTCACCTAACTGCTTTTCTAAGCGCTCGATGTCTTCAATAGATTCGAACAATCTCCATTGACCGAAGTAGATGCGCTTCTTCTTCTCCTTAGGCCCTTGCCTAAATAACAGGGATTTTCGAAAATATGTCAATTCCTTGAATGAACCTGAAGACGAATGAAAGTGACGTGATACCTCACATAACTCAAAAATGTCTGCAAGCTGATTGCGGTCTTTCTCTGTTTCTGCCGGATACCTCGCGCTCATTTGATCCACCGCATTAATGATGCCTCGATATGCTACTTTACGCATGTCATCGAGGGTAAATTGGACAAATTCATTTAAAATATCAATATGTTGACTGGTTGCTGAATTGAGAAGATCTGAAGTTGATGGCATTTTATGTCGGCCGAATTCTACAAGCAGTTGTAGCAAGTCACGCAGCTCTGTTTTGTCACATGAAAGCTGGGTCCAACCGAGAAATGCCCACTTCGACACTGTGCAGCCGCTTTTTAAAAGATAAGTAATTACACTTAATTTACGTTTATCTGAGCAGATTGCTGAATAAACAGGACAATAGAAGGTCCCAGATAACGACGTGTTCACAGGCGGAAGTTTGTCGAGTCGTAACACTTTCACAGCATAGCGCACATCATCAAAATCTCCATAGCGGCATATCGTTGCAAAAAGCTTCAGGCCTTGGTTATGACATTTGAAATAAACATCAAGCTCGTCAGAGCTGATCTGCTCTAGGAGCTTCTTAACAGGTCGCGATAGGCCACGAAGGCTCCGCATCATCTCGGCAAGATCGCCGTATCCTTTCAGCTTGCTCAGTGCATCGACTTCGCGAAAGAACCTTTTTCTCTCTGGTCCTGCGTCACAACAGGTTTGTCTCTTTCGTGCAGCCATGTTACCGATTATTGATCTTAATCACAATGTCACTTTGCTTAATCAACTTCTGCACTGCTAAGCACGCAACAGTCGACAGGATCGACACTTGCCTCAGATAGATGCACATGGAGTCGACTCTAAATTTGACTGATAAAGCTGACGAAGGTCCATTTCGTCCAAAGTTCTGCCGATGCTTTCTCGGAGAATGAGAGAGGGCGTAAGAGTTAGATAACCAAGCCAGATTTGTCGACGCAGTGGCTTACTGAGAGAGGCCAGGTGTCGCTGCCTCAGATGTCGTCAACAGCATATACAACTACACAATTTGCGTCAATGAAGGAAACTATTTTTTATATCAGATTCGCGCGAAGCCTTCTCAGAGCAAGTTTGGACAGGTGTCTTATACGGTAGAGATAATTGGCACTCCTTGCATTTATAACTCTACTATTGGGCAGTTTGCTCGTCTCCATCGCATCGATAACGCGAAGGCTCGTATGGATTGAAAAAAAAAAGAGATCAAGCAAAGGGGGTTGCAGCTTCTTCAAATCGAGCTGAGCTAGACCGCACATCACTTCGACCCGGGAAGTCTTTAGGGATGATCCTTGGAGTAACTAGCAGAACGCCTACGACCTCGCAATACCCTAAAGAGTTACCATTGATGAAAAAGGATTTCGCCAACACAGTCACCACATATAGCATATATAACGATTTTCGTCATTTCGATAGTCTATACACAAAGTGCGTTGGTACGGTCGAAGTAAGTAAGCAAGATAAAAGGGCGAATGACAAGGCTGAACCCAATCTGATAATAGATAAAGCAGAGTTGAGCTGTGTCAACGGTTTGACAAGCAAATGAATGCCTTTATTAGTAAAAGGAAACACTGAGTAAACCAGGTTTATGCTTCAGAAAAACTAAACCATAGAATTGATTGCTAAGACACCCAGAGCAACAGAACCTATTAAGAAAACTAATAAAGCGTTATTACACTTTCAAGCAGTTTAAAACCATGAATGATGTGTTGGTCGTCCCGCGGTTGAGAGAACCCAAGAGAGACACAGGCGGAATTTTAAAGGAAAAATGCTTCTGAAAATAAGTACGTTGGTATCGTATGAGTTTTTGGCTAAAAAAATCTTTAAATGGCTGTCAGCGTGTAGCAGGACAATCAAATTTAAGGACAGTAACACAGAACAAATTACGTGTCAATCCAAAAAAGTATGAAGTACGGTGCATTCATGTACAATATCCGAAAGACAGGCATTTCGGATATAAGAAGCTGTAAAAATTCTCGCCATATCTCATCTGAATTTCATAGCTAATCAGCAGGTGATTGCGTTCGTAAAAATATCGAGGGTACTAAGCATGAGCATCAAAGGCAAATTCATTGGGTTTGTTGTACGAGAGATTAACGCGGGATGGAGAGCCCGAACAATATGGGTTCGTATGTAATCAAAATACTCACGCTTTAATTGCTTTAGGAAAAACTATCGAAACATTGTTACAGTAATAATTGAATATTTACCATTCAATTTAAAAGCAAAAGTAATGCTGAAGAACTGAGGATTAGCATCATTAAGTACATTGGAGCTAGGCACCAGGTTTACGCCTTATTAAACGATGGACCCCAAGCAGGCTCAACCTGTAACTAGATATATTAAAAATATTAGCTTAGTTCGGTTAAAAGCCAACAGCGGTACTTACTAATGTCTAAAGGCCTTTTGTGTTCTTTATTATGCGTTAGCTTTTATTTTTCCTAAGTATAAAGTACGAATGCGTGAATCATTCAGGGCAGTTCCCCTTAGCGAACTGGTCAACTTACTCTGCAGGAATGGGGGTATTTATGAGGAAAAAAAACATGTTCGCTACCTAAGGCAAGTTTCGCATACGAAGGTACGGAATTTAGAACAACAGGGATTAGGCGGATAAAGTCGGAGTATTTTCTAGTCGAAGCATAAATATAATTAACCGTGTAGACCCCGCCTGAACGTTGTCTGCTTAAAGGATTAGTCCAATTTGTAAATCTTCAAAGAATCTTCGCTCTGTGGTGATGAGGTTGATTGTGTGTTAGCAGCCTTCAAGGTTTCCTGATTGATTGATGATCAATAATACCTTTGATTTAACCTGAAACGCATTACTTTTGCGACGCGAATCGACATGCCTCTGCGGCGTATTTACGCAGTACAACAGATTATAGGTTAGCTAATTTTGTGATATTTATATTCGCTAAGCCTAGCATAACACTGTCGAAAGGAAGATGGATTATATGTGGAAGGGTTGAGCCGCTGGAAAGCAAAAAAAAGAGGATCCGCCCGCACATGCTTTCAATTTTTAAACCTACAACCGTGTTCAGATGATAAATAAATAGGTTGTTAGAACGGTGGAATGTATTTGTCACCATATAGTTAAAGATATACGGAAGATAATTATTCGTTTGCAGACGGCCGGAGATATGTAACATCGAAAAAAGCTTAGCAGACCTTTTCTAGAGAGCTACTCCTTTGAACAATGATTACTCAATAAGAATAAAAAAAGAGGGTCGAAAGAATATGGGCGAAGTTAAATAACGTATATTATGGATACCTAAACTGAATCAATAGCAATTTTTCGACAGCATGCTAAAAAGTTCGATTTACGGAATGGTCGTCATGCCGGTAAAGACGATAGATGATGCAAAATTTTTCAAGTACGACAGACGATTTTGCTGATAGCTGCCGCAAACACACATTACAAAAACCAAAAAACAAACGCAAATAATTCTACACAATTATCTAATTATAATTATTTAGAGAATAACTTATACTTGAATGTAACAATACCCTGAAGACGAGCATGATCGATCAGTGTCGTTCGTTCAAAGATCACAAGATATATATTCGATGTCGTACACCTGAAATTATTATTTTGAAAAAACCGCGCAAATGGATTGCGCCCCTGTGCATTGGGTTTAATTTTTAGGCGTAAGCTTTAACTCGATCGACCTTTTAATTCTGTTAAATTCGTTCATCGAATCCAGTAGTACCGAATCAAGTGCCAGTGTGTCCTGCGATCCGTTCAAATTGAACAACGAAACATACTGTGTTAAACTGGTACCCATAGAAAGAACACGTGTAATATTGAAAATAACCTTCCGGTCAACGTTTTCCTTACGGTCAACGACGAAAACGTTAACGAACTAAAGGAAAATGCTATGGGAATTTATCACAGTGTGGTCCATAAGAGGTTAAGCTGCATATTTCATTATAATCATCAGAAAGAGCGTCGCAGAGTGACATACTTTCAAGATGCCGCTCTATCTTTACCAAGAGACATGTCGTTTGCCACCGACGACTCTACAACTCGTGACCTTGTTCACTCAATTTTACTACTTTTAACTTAAGTTATAGAACAAAATTCGAAAAGACTGCCGAGTTCCTTTCCAACGATATGCTTCCACATCTTAACTGGTCGTATAAACTATAGAGAGTGGAGATAAATATTCTGCAGATCAGATGGTACACTAGAGGAAGGCTAATCACAAAACTGTCTGACGTTATATCTATTTTTTTTTTAATATGCACGTATAAATGCGGCCAGTTTGATAAATACATTGATTCACAATAATTAAGTTCAATTCTGGCGGCAGTCTGAAGTTATATTCGGATTTCTGTAGGTCGATCGATCGACCTTCGTTTAAACGTGACACTAAATAGTTCTTCCAGCCCATAAAAGCTGATATTTGACTTAGTTATGTTGCTTTTCAACCTGAGAGTTAACCAATGAAACATTACCTTATATTGGTGGGAAATATAAGAAAACACCGGATAATGATTACGACACAATTAGAGAACCATTAGATTACTTGCGGCTTTATCAACAACGGATAGGGACAGCAGACTTTTCGGTCTCTAAAGCAATCGAGAGCAGGAAACGAGAATAACCTGCTTTGAAATAACCAAAGGCCGCCAGACTCACTGAGTATATCAAATGTTCAATCTCTAATGATTTTTTGTGTTTGTGCCTGAATAAAATCGGTTCAAGTGACACCTATTAATCCTATTACTAAAAGTAGGCCCTCGAGGAATGAAACTATTTGAACGCTTATCTGCCACGTATTGCCCCATTTGTGTTGATTTTTTGAAACAGTCGTACGCTCTCATTGATGGAAGTGGTTCGATAGTACCAGGTAGGTGTCAGGTAAATCTCTTTCATCTGAAAACAGATAGGTATGAAATAAATCTGTTATACAAAAAAAGAACTCTCTAAAGAACGGCTATGGTTTTTATGCGTTAAGAGGTTGCTTGTAAGGCGCATAAAGTTTCTCCAGAAATCGTCTAAGACAATGTAGTACAAAGCTCGCTTTATTCACGGAACTGATACGTCAAAGTTCTCCCTAAGAAGGTGACAAAGGAAATATAGTATTGCATAAGACATATCGTGAATACCGTATTTCTATTAGTATCGCGATTAGTTACAGAAAGTAAGTTTACGCTTTGTTTTAGATAATTATTAAGTTAAAGAAGAAATTTTCTCATACATTCGTTCGGGCTGAGCTGATTGGAGGAATTTTACGAAGAATTGAACTGCAGGCAGAATAGGGGCGGCAAAAGGACGTCTGCTAGATTCATCTGCAGCGCGGGAAATGTTAAACGTAGCGTTGCAATGACCAGAGTAGCTGATGATATTGAAGAAGATTCAACGATGTTGAACGAATGATCGCTACTCAACTTCCTTCTAAAGAGACAACGTTCCGTAAGGAAATCTGCACGGTAATGAATAACTTCTTTTTTCATAATTGGTGCATACAAACCGTAGGCGTACGATGATCATCCAAATGTAATGATAACAAATAGGACATGTAATTGAATTTATGCTAATTATATTGTTCGTTGACAAAATCGTGACATGGCAAACCGCCGCGAGAGAGAGATACATTTTTTTCGGTAGTTTTTCTATCGTCGCTCGGTGTATGTACGTATATTGGCCTTTCCTAGTGGTTTGATTTTAATTGCGTGCGCGTATCGATTAAACAATACGCTATGTTGATATCTATCTATATTCGCTTAAGTTGACTCCCTTATAAGAGCTGAAATTACATTTTGTGGAGGGACAGTTAATTAAATCGTAAATCGATAAACGCATTCGAGAAAAAAAGGAAGTATGTGAAACCGCAGCGTCGACATACTCCCTTAAACCACAGGACATTAGAATTTCACGACAGATGAGATTCATTTACCCCAAATAACTGGGGGCTTCAGAAGTAAATAAACATATACCGTACAGTTTATACGTCCAATTTTCGTAACGTGTATGAGACATGTGACATGCTCCGAGAGTCGGCAACGTAGATATATAGAGACAAAAACAATGACAAAGGACTTCAGCCGTGCTACGGGTAGCAGTATCTATGGCATACTCCGTGCTAAACGTTTCAGCTAAAGATGACCAGGCCAGCAAAGGTAAAAGGACGTTCGTTAGGTACGGCTGTTTAGCCGTACCTAAAGAACAATTGCGATCATCAACCTTCCCAACGTATATTGAAACTAGTTCGTTTCACCGTGAAAAAACCCACACAGCCATAAGAAATTAGAAAAAAAAGCGGGTCAATATATGGCACCTGGCAGACAGAAAAGTGGACAGACCGTGTAGCAACAGTTGAATATTAGGTCTGTGTGTTCCTTAGTGCCCAGCTCTGAAAGCCTGCGATCTCTTTTTCTGCGTAGAGCTTAGGGCCCAGCTGAAAGGAAAACCCCGAATAAAGAGCGCTTATTAAAGAAAGATCGAAAACGATGCTTGAAAAGAGAATTTCTATTTAAACAATGCACCTTCGGTCCATAACGGTACAAGATGAATGCAATATATAGTAACAATAATAGTTACAAATAGTAATGTATAGTAAAGCGCTCTAATAAAACAAAGCAAAAAATATCGGTGAACAAAAGCGGCATTTACAAAGGAATAGCGAAACCTAACTAACAAACTACAATCATGGGTTTATCGAATAGACTGGCAGATACCAAATAACAATACATTCAAATACTGGCTTATATTGTATACATTAGTATGCCATAGACACGATTGGACCTTGATTTGACACCGTCAGTTCGAGACAACCGGGAGTGGAGAAGTAGTCAAATTAAGTTAGAAGATATTTATTCTTAATTAATAACGTGTCCGGATGCATTTTACGTTTATGAAGAGAAACATTTTCTCGTTGGCTCGTTAACGATTAAAGCGATGCGGATCGATTGATGACCATGTAAAGCAAAAGGGCACACAAAGCGAGCGAAGTAGTCGCGGTATGTGGTATTACTCAGAATTGATACCGATTTCATCGACCGTCAAAAGAATACTTGATGAGCATTGACTCTGGCTGAGCATCATTCAGCGTTCTCTAGCTTACTCTTCATTCGTAATAACATATTCTATACTATACATTCTATAATAACAGTTCCAGACGTTAGATAGAAATACGGTGCTGTCTTAATGTTCACTAGTCGACAATGCAATCATACGCAGAGTGCTTCCATATTTAAGATATATTCTAATATGGGACCACGTCGAGCTAAGTAGTCGACTGAATCCGTTATTTCATGCACGCTGTATATCAGCACGCGATAAAGGTGTTCCTTATAAAAATCGCGTGCACGCTTTAAAGCTCTGATGGAGAGACCGCCCGCTCGCGAAGTTTTTTTCATCGTTCTTTCACTGCTATTCCATAAATAAGAATTCTTGGTTTTATTCTTATTGTACGTTTTCGAAAAATCGTGTGCATTTCTATTTGTATTAACGGCATCGAGAAAGAAATTGCATTTCAGCAACATGTTCGTGCAGAGGCACCGGCTGATTCTGACATTTAACAACAATTAAACTCTCAACGATCGAGACTAATTCCCGATCTACCCCCCAAAAAGAACGTAAAGTTTATCGGTTCTCGCCTGTTGAAACCGCGGTAAAGTTTGTGCCGACCAGGTCGAGGCGCTGGAGCCGGTCTGCGGTGCCAGAAACCATGTTAGCTACGTCAAGGCGCTCTACGTTGAGCATGTTCATGAGAGCAGCTGGTGTGCCTGTAGGACATCTTCAAAACTATAGGCGCGACAGACCTTCTCAAGGTGTTTCTTGAAGATATCAGTGGACGCTGAATGCCCTGGGGTGAGTTTGTGTTGCTTTTCAATAAAGCAATACATACTGTATACGACTTACCGTATATGCGTTTGTACTTCTAAATAAATACTATAATTATATATAGTTCTTCTCAATGTTTGTTCGATAGAACGCACTATGCATATTGGTCCACAAATCTTATAACATATTATAATATGAAAGCCTCACCCATCGGGAATAATCCCTAACTATCGAAAAACCTGCTTAACTTCAGTTTGTATAAATCTTCTGATTTTGTGTAAGATAACTGAATTGCGAGCCAGAAGGTACATTCGGGTTTGTTGATATAGATTAAAGATTTTTCCTGCCAACTTCACCCTTTCAACTGCAATATTTTAGGTATATATATCATTGACCTGTTCAGAAACGGGCTTCCTGCTTTACAGTTAGTGAGTGCCTCGATAATTAGCCTTTTTAGTCGTGAGACAGCAGCTGGAACTCGATAATTCAAATTAAAGATTAGAGCATAAACATGAAAAAGGAAGGCAGTATTAGGCCAAATCAGGCCCGTTACTGCTAAAAATATACATAACATTTCAGCGGTGTATTTAGGCGTACGATTTAAGTGGTGACATGCAAACCAGGCATTGTGTTAGCCTGAACTATACAGTCAACTTCGAAACGTTACTACGGTGATTGGTAAGATTTATATATATATATATATATATATATATATATATATATATATATATGTTATTGATTACGTTAGTTTTATCTGTCATCGATGTCATACATTGCTTGTCGTCTAGTATATGCGCCTAACGATAATGCATTGTACACGACATTCGTTATCTTTCATATATCCTAGTGAAGGCTCGTGGGTACTCACGCTTGTATTGAAGTAGGCGTTGCTTCAAGGACCTAAGCACAGATTTAAAACTCTCTATTATTGAAAACAATCCCTCTAAGATGATTGCAAGCCTTCTACCTGTGCTATTTGGTTGACAAGTACCCTTTACTACATAATTGTATCGTGAATGTTGTAGTTTGAGGAAATTAAATATTTACTACCGAGGGTGGCAAGCACATTTTGTTCCCTAACGCCTGACATTTCTTCACAGAACTTTATTGTAATGTAATGAGCTACATACCCTGTCAGAAAGGTACCGCACTGAAGGGAGCCTAGTTATCCCGTGGTCCTACTCTTGGGCAACCCTTGTGATAATATTTCACTACTAAAGGTAGGCATAATTTAGCTAGAACAGCCTATTCACAACAGAGTAATTTATCTATCTGTAAATAGAAACGGACATTCAAGAATTTTTTCTTGCTTAACGTCATTGATGGTCGTCGCCTATCCAATGCCAATTGTGAGCGAACAACGAAAACACTTGTGATCGAAATTACTGCTGTAAGTGGACATAGATAGCGCGGTATTTTTGAACGAAATCGGTTTGAAATGCGCGACATACAGCCTAACAAGGACACCGATTGGTCACAATGACACCTGCATTCGTCGTCGATCTCGTAGGATCTCGTTAGCTGATTCCTTTTCCTGTATATTATTGTTTAGTTTCATAACATGAAACAACACGGTACCTATAAAATTGACGTTGTTTATCAAAACCGAACGCTTATTGTAATTGCGCTCACCGTGGGCGGCAGGTAAATCATCGGAGTATCACCCAGGGCAAAAGTGATTGCAATTTGACAAGGTTCTCTTTATTTTTTTATTGATATGTACAAGGTACTATAACGAAGGCAACGGCGGTCTCGAGTTCCTGTGTAGGTCAAAGTTGTAGCAAATCACGATCCATCTTGGCCACGATATACTGCGGTAAAGCCAACAGAACTTCCGTTTTTCCTTCCTTAACAATCTACTAGCAACCCCGATGATACTCTTTTTTATGTTAACTGTTAAGGTATCTAATTGTTATGCTCAGGTTTAATAAACCTTATAGAACCGTTACTATAGTAGGCTTTGTAGAAATGTTTGGGAGCCCGAAGTTACGTCCACCTTTCATTTCAGGTGGTAAAAACCCTGGACGTGCCTCGTTAACTATTTAGACCCATAAGTAAACAATCAGTTTCCAAAAAACACAGTCTACAGATTGTAAACTTTAGTAAACCTGTTTCATGTGTTTCAGAGAATGTTGGAGAGAATAAAATGTCTTCCAGGATTATTTCCGAAGTCCGCTTTCAGTCGAATTGAAATTGGTAACGGAACACAGTAAAATGCCAGTGATGAGTTCAATTACGCCTTCTTCACTGGGAACAGTAATCTACGAATTTTTAAGACAAAGTTAGTATTTATAAAATCTTTATCTTTTCTTCTTGAAAAAGGTTGTTCCAATAGATAGTCGTATATGACTAAAATCGCAGTAGGCATTTGTTAGTAATTAGGTTATCTTCGCGTTGTGGCCTTGCTTCGAATCGGGCATAAATGGACTGCTGGCAGCCAGCTGGTTGTCTGATGGAATACCTAGAGGTGATACAGAGCGAAACAAGAGTTACTCATGTCGGCATACATTGCCAAAGTCTTCCTAAATTCTCTGGATGTGTTAGATAAACTCTATTTATATTAGATTATGGGACATTCGCTTAAAATGTATTTATTTAGTGATTGAAATTGTGCGGTTTTCTGTTTCCTGTGGTTAAAAAAAACTTGCCATCAAAACTAACGTGCATGTTCGATACATCGTTTTTGAAGGCGGATCCGAAGGCGAGGCCAAATGATCTGAACCATGCTCACCATTGAGCATAAACAGTTTTTGAGCCTACGGATATGCCCCCCGCGTAACTACGTTTTACTGATTTCCCCTCACTAGCGGTCTAGTCCCGGCGGTGTTGAAGTCTCTCTAATCATCCTGTGAAGCGACGTAGTCGCCGTGGAAGTAGATCTCTGTAGCAAGTATTTGCAATTGCCCACTGTAGTAAGTTTGCGGGAGAGATTTGAACCAGCAGTCGATGGTATATCCACCAAATCGCGCCCCTAATTGAAACGAAAATACATGTCTGCTTCTGAACGTTATACCAATCCTCCTGGTAGAAGCTCCGGTTCTGCTCTTTCCACTTAGACTCACCAACAGTGCGATGATGTGGTAACATGGTAATCTTCCTAGCATTTCCGATTCTTCTTCCGTTCTCCGATTGTACATGAATATTGTAGCCATTAGAGTAAAAAAGTATCTCTATTATTTTCAGATGCACTCGTAGCCGTTCTTGTGCTTATAATACTCGGCCTACTTTGTTACATATGGGCCTGCAATTGTTGTGCACCTGCATGTTGTATATGCAGATGCATTTACAAATGCCTAACGTGTTGTTGTCCAAAAAGAGGCGGTGAGAAAGCTGCAATGTCATGCGAATGCAGCCACACCGGGACTGATATAAAGGGAATAGGGAGAGTCCCAGTCAGCTCGAGCTCGACAAGCACGAATTAAGTGTCTGATAGTACATAACTGAATATGGAAAAATGTCCCTATGAGAACGATTTAACAATTTTCCTTGCTGGCAATAAAAACGTTTTGTGTAAAAAAATACATTTATTTCAACCATCCCATGATAAGGGATTTACGTTTTACGATTTTATTTGGGTTCACTTCAAAGGCGAGGTATAATTGCTACAGACATTTTAGTCAAAACAAAACAGTACGCGATCTGCAAAATACAGAACAAACCAAAAAGCCTACGAAGTGTTCAAGGCTTGAGTAAACCAATCTCAGGAGAAAGTTTTTTTTTACTAGGAGTAGATATGGACATATCTACATAACTTTATGGTGGCGGTTAGGCAGAAACACCATTAGGTCCATCCTAGGGCGCTCTTATCTATCGGCTGCTAAACTGTGTGGCTGGAGGACGGCGAGACGCAAGTTCAGCCAGCGTCATTTGATATCGAAATCTGAAACCCCAGAAATAGGGCCTCAGGTTTTAACGTTTATAACCTCCAACAAATCGACCCCGTCCTTCTATAACTAAAAACCGTGTATTTACCTAGCGGGTCTCTTTCTAAGGGCTTTCTTGAGTTATTTCTTTTATTGATTTTGAAAATGGTTCACTTCACTAAAGCAGTCAAGGCTCGAGCCTTCGTTTTATGTATAGGAGCGGTTATTTCGTCTTGAATTCGTGTGAGCTATGCGACCAGTTAGCGTCTTAGAATCTTATATAATATAACCTATTATATAGCTGCTGTGAGTTGCTGGCCTTCGTCGTATCTAGCTGGCTTCATCTTTTCGTGAAGCCGCCAGACTTACTCATCCACTAAAATGTTCAAGCATTGGGCGGTAAATTAATCATAGAGGTAGTTTACATTGTATGTTCATTTTAAAAAAGTTAATGTTTAAACGTGTTCATAGACACGGTTTACAAAAAATTATCAAGTTGGTTCTACCAACATCACATATTTTTTCCTACACGCATATAATTCATGCTACTACGGTTTGATCCACGCTACTATGCATACTAACGATGAAAGTAGTAATATAATGATAATTAACCAGCATTAACCAAGAATCGAGTAAAGTTCTATTATTAAAAAACACATAAAGCCGACAAAAACCCCGTTTTCCCTGTCAAGGTCATGCTCTCTTTGGCCGAGTACGTGGCACTGTGATTCAATGGCGTGAACTTTTGTTTTGATTTTATCGTAGAATCATTCCGAATGAAATCTTTAGGGATACATAGATGAGTTGATGGGAGCGTGCGAACAAAGTATGGCTCCACCTCATAAATACCTGGGTAATCAGCCATTTCTGAAGTATGGCGCGAGTGAGACCACGATTCGCTCTTTCAGCTATTCCTGGCTCGGAGAGAGTATCAGATGTGTGTCTTACGACTTTTCTCAGAATTCAAAGCCTTCTAATGAAGGCTTTGAATCTAATGAAGGCCCATCTCGGCTTACTCGTTTGTGTTTCGAACCACTTGAGGTTGTCTCTTCGATGCAGAGCCGCCTATAGTTTCTCATTTAGGAAATAAACGCGTTTGTATCTGGAAAATTTGTCAATTGCGCACATAAATGTAGCCTAACTCGTGCTGAATCAGGTTTCCGATGATATATTGTCCAATGTAGCTTCGATTGATATCAGGTGGTACGATCTCAATTATTGTTTACAAACTCGATGTTTGGTGCTCTAAGAGCTTCAGGACCTTCCAATTAACCACATGGCTAAACGTTTTTGTAGATGGCGCTCATAAAGGCATCCCTTGTCGTTTACGGCGTTTTTCGTACTTTAGGCCGCGAACTGCTTTCCATCATAGTTGACAATGCTTCAACAGGATGAAGTCTATTGTCTACTTTGATCCGTTAATTTTTCTCGATTAATAAACAAGTAAAGGAGGTACTGACACATCTTAGTTATGTAAGGACGTTTTTTACTATACAGGGTCGTCGTTGCCACGTAACACGGCAATCGCGCGCAGACCGAATGCTTAGAATTCCAAAAATAGGGACCGTGATTTGATAAGCTGTTTGTGGTTGTAGCCAACATCGTTCACAATTGAGCATGTAATGGCGAAATTCATGGTTGATGTATCACTGTTGCACCACATTACTTCAACGTTACGCAGCCCTTTTTTGCCCGGTTTTTAGTTCTGGCTTGCGGAGTGGCCTTTTTTTTTTTAAACATTTGTATCATGCGACTTTGCCGTTGGCCCTCCAGTGTAAATTTGGGTCGGCGCTTTTGGCGGTTCGTTTGAAAGCCTATTTTTCTTGGTTATGACTTTTTTTTTTCTAACTGGGCGGCCCGACTTCACTTCCGGGTGCTTTGAAGCTTTCTTTTTGAACTAGCGTTTGGTTTGCCATGATGTCCAAGTGATTCAACACTTTATACGTCTCCTTAAAATATTCGAATTGCGTGTTAGAACTTTGGACAAAACTGAATCATGTTGGCAGAAGAGATTTTTCATCAGTAGACTGGGCAGTACTTTTTGGTCGGTCTTTAGCTTTGCCAGTCGTAGGCATTAAGTTATATTGTCAAACCTGTCTAAATTTTTGGCGACCGTTATTTTGACGTTGAAAGCTTTATGCATGACTACATGTCGATGAGGTTTCGCCGATTTGGCGGGTACTGGGGTTCCTTTCGGTGGCGCCAGGCCATGTGGCTATGAAATGATCATTGGGATCATATGATCATCTTCTGAGCTGCTTAACTGGCTCAATCATTTTTTCGCACAATTGATAGTATATCTTTTCTTACTATATTCTAAGCATTTCCGTGTTCGAGCTCTTTCGCGATGTAGTTATGTTATACGCGAGGTGTATAGTGCTTTTGCGCATTCTGCAAAGTTCTTCCGTAGTCTTGAAGCCGTCTGAGGCCATTATGAGCCCTACGAATTGCTGATCGTCAGTCTATCACCACACAAATTATATGTTATGCTGCTATTGATAGTTGGGATTCGCTGTTTAGTGGATGCGTACTGATTCCTGATGTTGCTTGTGCCTAATAACGACCGCGGCCCACTAACGTACCGATGCATAGTCTAAACATTTGGTTCAGTCCGTTGAAAAAAAGATCTATATACATATATATATATATATATATACACAGCTATCAAAACGACATGGGTCTTCCTATTGCTGATGCCAAACACCGCAAGTTTTAGTTATTTTTAAGTCAAATAAGATGAAAAGGTAAAGGATATTAGTTTCCGATATAGACATTCAGAACGTGAAAATCCAAACACTCTGCTGAAATTTCAGCTCAAGGTTATTAAGCAGAACCAGATTGTCCACACGTACAAGGCGTTTTTCAACAAAGGAAACTCTAATATTTACGACTGCCTGGACAAAGGCAATAACCCAATGATTATTATTACGGTCATGCGGCAGTAGCATGATCGGGTTTTCATCACAGTAATTTTGATGCCCAAAAGAAGCACCCGATTCAAGGTTTCCATTCAGATACAATAGGTAGAAAAATCTAAAATTGCAAACCTACTTCGTGCGACAGCGCCTATTGTCTGGTACGAATATATCATACAAGAATGCCTTCGGGACTGTTAATTGGACACCCCGTTAAAAAGCCGCTGTCGATATCTAAATGAAGCAAAGCAGCGACGACGGATATTAATTATCAAATGAATAACATTTATGGAAACACTTTAAAATATATAACACAGCCCTTAGCTATACGAGTGACACTCAGCGTGGCAGGCCGTCAAAAGAAAGGTAGTCATAGCGCAAACTTTATAATTTCAATTAGCTTAATTACAGAAAACAAAAATCTATATTTGGTCTGCAGATGCTGCGTGAGGTGACATCTGCGAAGCATGTTGACTTCAATGAGGGTGCGATTGTTTAATGTCAGATCTGAACCAGTTTAGGAAGGCTTAGATCTGAATGAGATGTTGTTATCATATATTTCATTAGTATTTTCGTACGACGCAAAGCGTAATATGGACTTGAACCCAATTTCGAAATGACATATCGTACAGCTAGTTTTTCTCTTTCACTATAGAAAAGGGCTGTTTCAACAAACGTATTTTACGTGGTTTAGCTCCTTTTCACAAAGATTCATTGTTACTCACAATTTTCTTTGTTTTCGAACAAACATGTATTAACGCAATTGTCTATATTTTTTTTTTAGGTTACACTTCGGCAATCACCTTTTGCCAAGTATGCTTTGAGGGGTTTATTTAGTGATATGGGGGTGCTATACATTATTTAATATGAGAATGTTCACTGTGCCTTCATACTCTTTTTCGAGTTCAATTCAACTACGACAAAGCAATCTGCCGTACCTCCCTCACTTATGAGATTCAAAACTGGAACTCAGTAAATCGTTATTGCGTAATATTATTTAAGACCTTTATATAGCCCTTCTCGTTATTGACACAAATTCAAGTGACGTTATTGTGACCCAGCTTCTGGTCCCTTTAGTCACGGACTTGGTCGGTGAAGTCAAGGGCTTTTCTCTTCATATGGGCAATCCGTATATGCGATTCATCTATGATCGTTGTATTTACGATGAGCAGCTGTGAACTGCGATCACGGATACCAACTCGTTAAACCTGTACAATACATGCGTCACCCATATCGTGATTTCTTTGCGAGCTCTAAATGAAACACGCAAACATAACTCGGGCTTAATTTCCAGAAATCTTCGAAGCTTTATATCGAATACTTGTTTTTAAAGCTTCAATTGTAGTAGACTTGGCCCAATTAATTTTGTTCTCGGAACACGCTAGGGAAAAACTCCGATGGCGTTTGATCGCATATGGGAGGCAGTTGCGGGACAAGCACCTCACGCCAACCCTGAAAAAAAAAGGCATATATTAGATCAGATTAAATATTCAACATATTTTTTTTTGAGTTTACCTTTCTGTGCTGTACCCATTACATAAACGCGACCATTTTCTAGTCTCAGATGCGCTTAGCCATATCTGATGATACGTCTGATTACTGCGAATGATAACAGATCAAATTCGCCGCTTTCAATATACACCGCTATCCGATAGCGATACTAGTTTGGTCTATTATCGGATCGTGTAACCGGTCTGTCAATTTTTTTTCTCCCTAAAAAGGAAC